TATTTGAAGATACAACATTCTATATATAAGTTAAACTATGCTTTAAAAATATGTTATGCACATGTACACCTGGCAACTCTGTAAGACAGACTTATTAAGAGACATGTCGAAAAGAGCAAGAAGCAGCCGACAAAATGTTAAGGCTCTGCTATGCCAACAGATCTAAACAGCACATGTTAACAGAACCAAGCGATGTTAGCAGAATGCTTTAGAAGCCGATTCCTAGATAAACATATATGTATGAACACGTATACGCTCTGGTGCCAACGTACATAGAGTCCTGAGGAAAATTAAGGAGACTATACCAAACATATTGCTCAAGGAATAAACTGAGTATAGTTAATGTTGATCGATATGTTTTTCTACAATCCAATACTCAACTTTTTTGTACCTTTAAATTTACATTAGGGTATATAGTTAAGCTAGTTATTTTATAGTGTAAACTATTAAATAGAGGGCAGAGATTAAATGCGCCTCAATTGCAGCACGTATAGCTCCAAAAAATATGTAATACCCATTCTCAATATGATTGGTCGCTGCAGCTGCTGTCGCTTGAATTGGATGTCATGCAAAAACTCAATAAATTTTCCGCAAACGATTTATCATGAGGTTGATTACGAAAATGCAGACACACAATCACAAAATGTGTATGGCACACACACACACACACACACAGACACAAACAGCATGCATGCATAAAATAATATAGGAATATTATAATAGACATGGCATACAAAAGCGCCATTGCCATTTTTCACATGTCAGGACATTGATTTGCAGTTGTTACACAAAATGGCGCCGGCAAGAGAACCGTTAGTAACCCACTAATGGATTGTTGCCAGTCATTGTGTAAACGTGTGTGTGTGTCTGTGTATGTGTGTGTGTGTGTGTTATGCCTGAATGTGTTCTATAATGGATGCTTTTGGGATCGCTGATGTGTTGAAGAGCGAGCGCCACCTTTCCCTACGGTATCAAAGGTTACAACTGAATTAACATAAATTGTGGCGTGAAAATTGACAACAGCGCATTTTGGATATGGATTTGCCAAGGAAAGGGGTGTGGTGCATAGATGTTCGTAAGCCTTTTACGAGCACCTCAAATAAAGCCATTAACGGCCCAGCTAGGCTTTGATTTACGTGTGGCTTGGGGGCGTGGCAGCCCATGAACATGGCTGTGTTGTGATAACAATTTGAATTTAAATTAATTTATTAATATTTTATAATCGACTTGTGTTACGGTTCACATACGTGATTTGCATATCAAGTTGTGCAGAAATTGATGAGCAGTTATTTCAACAATCTCCGGCTGTGAGTGTGCGAGGTTGTGTGTGTGTTATTAACTGCATATTGTCAGAGTTTGCAACGTTTCTTGAATTTAATTTACTGTACACCAAATGCAATTCGCCTGTCGATTCCTTCGTCCTGGACCGACCAGCCAGGGTCCTGTCACTGGCCATGTTCAGCTTACGGGCAAGTAAATTAATTAACTTTATTGTCCGCATGCATCGCCAGGATATTGGTCCAGGGCCTTGGCATAATTTGATTAAAGAGCTAACAGCATTTGATACATTTCATTATCAGTTTGATAAAAGCATTTATCATTTTTCGGTTTTCACAATTTCCCATGCAAAATAAGCTGCCAAATGAAATATTCCATTCATAATTTAATAGTCTTTAGCTAATGGACTGCACAATATCAAATGCATTGGGGCATTTCACAATGCCCACGCCAAGAATGCTCACAACAAGATTAAAGAAATGTCTCTCTATGATAAAATTGAATATTACTTTTTGCCAAGAAATTGTGAGCAAATAAATTATATTTTAAAATAACCAAAATGAGTTTAGCTAGCCTCAGTAAAGGGGTATGGAGAACTTTTCTCTCGACTGTTGACTGGAAAGTATATTGAAATAATTTGAAATAATAAATAATATCAATTTACATAACTGTGTTAAAAGAATTTCCTTTGATTAAACTGAACTGTCATTAATACAATTATTTTTTGTGTTTCTGTTTTGCTTTCAATAGCTACAGCTAAATCGAGCAGAGAAATATTAAATTTGATATGAAAAAATAAGAACGAAACCACTTTGATAAAATTGAACATGTCGTAGTGATTCAATAAAAAATTAAATATATCATTAGCGTAGCATTAATAATTGAAGAAATTTTAAATTCTGATATTGGTTAAACTTGTGACATAAGAAATAAACAAGAATAAATCCGCTTGCTTAAATTAATCATATTATATCGTTAATCATATTGTTAAGTTGTTAATTTCTCAATAAAAACATGAATATATCATTTATGTAACATAACACACGAACAAAATTGCACTCCTAAAGCCTTTTTTAATGCACATTTAATGTTAAGAGTGTGCACATAAATGAATGATAATTTGTTTTTTTTTTTTAACAGGCATTTAATGCTGATTTCGCGCCCACTTAATTGGATGTAAAAATAGCAACAAGCCACTGGAGTACATATGTACCGTAGTTGAATACACGCGGAGACAAATGCACTAATGAAAAACTCTATATGCACTATGAGAAATTGCGCCCATATTTGAATAGCCCTCCCATGAATTTGAAGTAAAAAGTTTCGTGCGGATAGCTCATTTGTATGCACATAAATTGCATTACGAATTGACGCTTTACAAAAAAAAAAAAAAAAAAAAAAACCGGGAGGAAAAAAAGGAAAACCTCACCAAAAAGAGAGAAAATAAGACACAGCGGAAAATAAAATAAATTAAAAACTCTCCAAGAATGCTCACAGCAAAGAAGACGCAGCAGGGTAAAAAATGTAAAGCGAATTGCAGCAGCATCGCGAATAAAAAATCGCTGAGCTACGCGTGTCCTTGCCACGGCTCCTGTCGCACCAAACAATAACAAAAGGTAGAAGGAATGAAGAAGAATATACAAAAAAAAAAAGAAAAAACAATATTAAATAAAAACGCGCTGGCAGTGTAATACGTGTACGGTGCAGGCCCCCAAGAACTGCATTCCGGAGGAACTCTTGATGATTTTGATGTTGGTAAATTTTTGTGCATTTATCATTCGGCCAACAGCACAGCCAGACTCTCTGTTTACCTGTACCCACATTCCCATTTACTCTATATTCCTCCCATTTATTTTTTTTTTTTGCTTTGTACATTTCCCACTAGATTTTCACGAATTACGTTTATTGCTGCATAGTCAGGAATAAGAAAAAGCAAAAAAAAAAACAGGAAAGACATGCCGGAAAATTGAAAAATGCTCCAAGTTCAGTTGGCATTCGTTTTGCAAACAACTGCACAAGGAATTGTCGATACGTTTGAAAACAGAACCGAGCGAACTGCACATCGAATTGATGATGAATTGATTTATGTTTGCGTGCTCTCTCTTCTTGTACTTACCAACACCTCTTCCATTTCCATTTCAATTTTCATTTTGATTTCTAGTATTGCTTTTTATTTACCATGTACCATTACCTGGGCTTAAACAGCGAGTTACACTGATTGCGCGTTGCATTGATGTGAGAATTATTTGAAACCGGACTCTAATCAATAAGCCAAATTCGTTTATTCTTGAGCTCAATATAAAAATGTGGCACATGCCGGAATTAAGTTGGTTCAGATAGTTGGCAAAAGCTTAAGAATCAAATTTTATTATTCGCATTTTTTAAAAGCTTATCCCTTATTTGAGCGATAACAGAGGACTTATAACACATTTAAAATATATTTTTGAATGAATCACCTCAATTTAAGTTCTGATAACCAATTAAATCAATCATTAAAGATTTCTAGAGCAGGGACGCTTAAATTACATCCTTTATCAAAAATAAGATATACAATAAACAGCTTATATATATCTATATATATATATATGCCAATAAGTTTGAGCGTGAAGCCAATAGCATTAATAAATACGCATTAAAGGTATTAATTATAAAATTTATATGTGCGAGCTGAACTCAAAGTGAGACCAAGTAGAGCAGTTGGGCTGTATCGATTGAAAAATACTCTTCCTCAGTCCAATAACTGAATAAACGAATTAATTAAGATAGCGATATCAATTATTAATACATCGATATCAGTTAAGATATCGGTGTCGTTTAAGATTTCGATATAGGTTAAGATAGCAATATCGGTTAAGATATCGATATCGATTATAAAGATGGTGATATAGATTATAAAGATATCGATAACGATTATTAATATGTCGATATCGATTATAAATATAATCGTATCGATTGCTAAGATATCGATATCGACTTTGAATATATCTATATCGTTATCGATTGTTCAGATATCTAAATCGATTGTTAATATATCGAAATCAATTATTAAGTCTCTAACTTCCACAGCGCTAAAAATAATTGCGCTCTCACGGACAGACAGACGTACAGTGCACAAAACAAATATGCTCTTCTTCAGTTTGTGTATAGAGTATAAAATAAAACGAGTGTCATAACTGATTAGAAAGAAAAGAAATTAATCTAGATTTTAGAGATGAATAACATGCATCTTGTGTGAATTAAAATAAAATAATTTTAAATAGTATTAAGTTCCAATTGTTTGTCTTGACAGACAAATGAAAAGCTAAGCAAAGATTGATTACAATGAATAATAATAGAACGCATCGGAATTTGCAATGCAAATCGGTAAACACTGTTAGTTAGAATTTATGCAAATCTAAATTCCGCAGCAACGTGTGGCGAGTATTTAATTGAAGAAATGTCATTAAGTGTCAAGCATCGCAGAGCGAGTTTTATTTCTGAAGAAAAGCCGGCGAATCTAACTTGATTGCCGTTGTATATGCTGGGTACTTGAAAGCCAGTTTTAAATCCACAACAGCGGCTAAGAGCTTAACGTGTTGTTGTTTTTTACGCGCTGTTATTATTAGAGACACACGAGCTTATCGCTGTGTGTGTTTTGCCCAACGTGTCGAATGTACGGGGGAATTCTCGCTCTAGTCTATAGACTATACACAGAGGGGGTAATTCCGTATAATAATCGCTGCGGTTTCCCACTGTGTGTTGATAGCAAACGCTCTGATGATCTGTGTATAAAAGCAGATCGCTCTGTTCTAAACGGCATCAGTTCAGCTTCAGTTCTACAAGCTTACCAATCAACTAACTAAACAAAATGAAATTCCTGTCGGTTGCATTTCTGCTTGGTCTGCTGGCTTTGGCTAGTGGTGAGTACTTTAAGAAGAGAATAATGCTAACATAATATTTAAAACTTTCTTTTTTGTCTTGACAGCCACGCCCCTGAACCCAGGCAACGTGATTATCAACGGTGATTGCCGAGTGTGCAATGTTCATGGCGGCAAATAAACATATGATGAAATCGAATTGCACATGGATTACTACAGCAATATGTTCATTATCAACAATATATATAATTATTTCAAACTATGAAGTCACATAAATATTAGTTATCAACATAATCAAGGGAATGACGAGCAAAATCAACCTAAATAAAAATAACTCACCTTAATATACTCGACCACAATTTTAAATCTTTGATTTTAAATAGCTGTAGGAACTTTTTTACACGATATTTACTAAATTGACTGATTAACACGCCATCAGTTCAATAACAAAAATTAAGAATGCTTATGAAAAAAAATAATCGTTCTATTGTTGTTTTTAATCGCCTTTAATTAAATCAAAGGTATAAAACACTTAACTACAGCTAAAATTCGATTTAATCGCAGTATTTCACGCAAATGCTTAAATTAAATATATACTGAACCCTTTGATATAATATCAACAGCCCTTTCTTTAATCTCGAACCCGTTTTTCCGCAAAGAACTTCTATTTATACACCTGATTGTTGCAGTATTTCCAATTTAATCTTAATTTTCCCGAAACCCTGACCCCAATATTAATGTTAAATAACAACAAGAATTGAATTAAACACATGACCGACTTCCATACGACATGCAAATTGACATTTCAAGGTATTTCCATATGAATTTGCAAAGCTTCGCTTTTTATATATGCATTAAGCTCTTCGTCATAAAATTGTTATTAACAAGTTTAATTGGCATCGCAGTGTCAGGGCATTACTGACAAGACAATATTCGATATACGGTTAATGTCAACATATTTGCTGGGGTCGGCCGTGCCCGTGGTCTATAATTTTCGCCACAATTTTTCCGCGTTGATTTGTCGGTGCATTTCCCATAAACCGGGCCAATAATTTCATATCAAACAGCCGCTGGCGCCACTGCAGCTTTTCGCATAGTAGTTGGCGTTGTAATTGTGTTTTATTGTCTGGATTAAACAGCATAATGTGCACTTATTATGCACATAACTGTAATGTCAATAAAGAGTTACCCATGCCCCAGGGCCCGATTCTATAAGTGTCGCTGTCATTTATCGAATATATATATATATGTTTTTCTCTCCTTCTTATATATAATTTATTTGCGCTGATTTATTAGCCTTTTTGGTTGCTGACTGAAAGTACGGAAAATGTGTCGCATACATTTCGAGTGTCCACCCCCAACTGAACGGCTGCGAGATGTGCGCAATTAATACGATATGTTTTAAATATTCCGTTTTAAATAATATCAATTATATAAATGAAATTATAATTTCATTATTCCCTGCTTGACAATTTCCCCGCTGAAATGAAACTTATTTAAGTGCACATAAATCTTAATTTGTTTTTGTGGCGACGACGCGTCCATTCTCTGATTAAAAATGAATAATGAAATCAAAAGAGGTACGAACAAATCTACCATTGCGCTTAAAAACATTGTGTGTCATAAGCAAGAGACCAATAGTGTTTAATGAAAATACATTCAATTTAATATTATCAAGTGCTTTGATATTCATTTGAATACCCTATCTGGGGGTATCACCGGTTTGTCACGGAATGTATAACGCATTAAAAAATCTGATTAAGTATACATATATAGTCTTGTTCCCTATCAACAAACTGTCTGCCTGAATCTGCTCTCTCATACATATCTGATAAGGTATATATAGTATTGATCACTATCAATTCGAACAGACAGTCTGAAACTTGTCTCTCAGGCTTAAGGCTCTCGTCATACAACTTTGTCTGGGTCCTTCTCTTTGTAACAAGCAAAACATTTATTAAAATCGCCCTATTGGAGCACTATATAATATAGCTGCGATACGAATGACATAATCCTTAAAACCTGTGCAATGGACTTTTCTGACCTTTCTGCCAATTGTTTTTTCCATCTGAGCGTATAAATATAAATGTAATTACCTGAAAAAGAAGAAAAGAACATTAATTAATTGTTTAGATTATTTAATTGATTGGTAAGGTTAATTAAGTGTTTGTAACAGGCAGAAGAAAGCATCTCCGATCCCATAAAATATATATATTCTTGATCAGTATCAACAGCCAAGTAGATCTAGCCATATCCGTCTGTTTATCCGTCTTTCCGTATGTACGAACGCGTCTATTTCAGAATCTACAAGAGCTACAGATTTTAAGTTTGACGTGGGTCCTCATAGTCACCGCAAAGTACAAGTATGTTTTTGATTATCGATAACATGCCCCGTTTTCAATCAATCAATAAGAATATCGATATCGAAATCTTGTTTTTAAGAGCTAGTCACCAAATTTGGCATGCAGGAATTTTTTAAAAATATATTTCTGTTACTGCTACAAGAAGCGAGTATCATTTGGTGTTGATAGAAGAGGGCATCCCCTAGTCGGGGAACTACCAACTAGAGACTCAAGTTTGAATATTAATTAGTTGATCGGATGTTTTAAACTTTAAAAACTTAGTTTTTAATAATTTTTTAAATAAAAGCTACACTGCTACACTGTTAGTAGCAGAAGGCAACAGACCGACGAGAATGGCTTTAAAGAATATATGTATTCTATGCGTAGCACATTTTCTGACCAAATTTATATTATATTATATTTATTTTTTTTTTTGAGCATCTTTTTCAAGCGCTGCGAATATGTGAAGCAATGTCAAAAATGTAGATTTATGTCCCACAGCGTGGCGCATCAAATGCATTTCAATTGAGGTACACAAGCAACCAAATTTTCTTTTCAGTTTGCCACAAACAGAACCGCAAAAGGGGTTTGCCAAAAGTGAGTTTTGCCCTCTGCAGCGCATCCATCTATTTTCAGTCATTGCAAAAGCCGACACGAAAATCCCAAAATTTCAATAGCAAAAGAAGCCCAATGCGCATAATTTTAGTGCGAATGCAACTGAACTGTCTGCAAAGGACATGGCAGGGGGATGGGAAGGCACGGGCCAGAAGCAGGAGCTGAAGTTACAGGACTTTCACAACGATTGCATTTCGTTTTTGTAGTGGCCCAAAAAAAAATGGCTGCAAACAAAATGGCGGCGGCACAGCAGGCGCTGCCATGCCAGAAATGTGCCAAAATGGCAGAAATAGAGAGGGAAATAGGGTGAGAGAGAGAGAAAGGGCGAGACAGTATGAGGCAAAGCATAAATTTCATTTTAGCCACGTCGCTTGTCCATTCCTTTGCTGCATTTCACGTTGTGCTTTATCGCGTAATCTCGACAGCGCGCTGGCAACTGCTGCCCATTTTTTATGGCCTGATGATGATGTTAATGATGAGCGTAGTAGAACGATGTGCTGTTGCTGCTGCTGCTGATGCGGATGCTGATGCTGCAGCAGCAACAGCAACTGACTTTGATGGTGCAAGCAATTTGCGCTGCAATTGTTTATGTGACGCCCAGCGTCAAAGGCACCGTGGAGCGGCCGGCGTTCAGTTTGTAAGCAATTTTTGGTGCACTAATTATGGTTATGCGAAAATGTTTTTAATGCGGCCAAAGCGGCAGTCAAAGGGTGTGGAAATGCTGCCAAAGGCAGCCAGACAAAAGCACTTTACTAGCAGTCGCACTCGCTCTCTCCCTCTCCCTCTGTCCCTCTATCTCGCTCTCGTTCTTTTTTACCAGCGCCTAGTCCTTATTTTTAAATGGCGTCCCGCCGCCATTTTGTGTGTTAGAATTACAATGGCGCACGTGAAAGCGTTTTGCGGCAGCTTTGACGTTGACGCCGGAGACGCGCTTAGAGCTGCATATGCTGCCGTTGCCGCTGTCTAATATTCCCCATTGCCGCGTTGTCTGTTTTGTGCACTTCCGTTTCTGCTTGTCGTGCACTCACACTCACACATACACACACACGCACACACAGCGCCATAAAGTATGCAATAACATTTTATTGTAACAACTCGTTAAACGTAACAAAAAAAAAGCAAACAAAAAATGAAAACGAAACGAAAGGCAGGCAGCAGCAAAGTGAGCAAAAAGGACGCGCCGACAGGCAGTCATGGCAAAAAGCTACTCACACAAAACCTAACGCCGGATCCCGACCAACAAACCCTTCGCTTGCCCCATGTCCATGCTCTTGCCAGTCCCTGTTTAGCATAAAATTTACTGCACCACGAACATTTGACGTTTATGTTGCCGTATGCCCGTAAATCCTACTAATCAAATTTATTACCCGCACACACACGCACGCACCCACACACTCAACGAGCGACCACAAGCTCATTTCTTTTGCTTGTGAGCACGGAACCAAACGCAGCCAAGCTGAGCCCCGTCCCGCCTCACCAAAGCGTTGCTCCTCTAACCTCACCTGCCCTGTACCGCTTAGTGGCCAGCGACTGACATGGCTCAGCCCACATTTGCCAACGGCCACCTTATCCAAGCTGGACAGCTGAACAGCTGAACAGCTGGCCACTTCAAATGCTTGGCAATATGCATATTAAATTTAATTAGAGCGACGGTAAACATAAATTCAGCCACTGGAGTACAACGCTTGACGTTCACTGCCTGCAATGCAATGAACAATAACAAAAACAAGAGCTGAGGTATTAGGAGAGCAACAACGGGAGCAGCAGCAGCAGTAGCGTCTGGCACCTTTTCATTTTAGCTGGCAGCAGCTTGCGTCCTGCTGCGCCAGTTCCACCTATTTTTGCGAGCCAAAAGCAATTTCTGCACTGCCTCGTAGCTGGCTGGAGTGTTCAACTGGACTTGAGATGGGTTATTTTAGGTTAAAAAGTTATGAGTATCTATCAAATAAACAAGAAGCATATTTGAAGCCTACTTTATGCCTACTTTACGAGCGGACTGCCTAAAATTATGATTTCTATTTAATATATATGCATTTAAAGAGCCTCTAAGGAGGGGTTGCTGCCAGAAATGATGATTCTCATTAAAAATATATATTTAGGGAAATTTATACGCGCTGCTCTCAGAAAGAATTTATGCCGAGAAAGAGAACAAAAGTACAAGTTATGCAATAAAATGATGTCCGTTAAGATAGAGCAACAGTTAAGACTGTGTTAAATACATATTTAATATTGTCCATAAAATGATATGTTAATTATAATAATAAATAATAATGCTAAAATTTAGCGTTGAAATTATTAAAATAAACAAATGAAATATTTGAATTTATAACTATTTAACGGACCACTATATCATATAGCTGACATAGATACGATCGGTCGAAAGCAGGATCTTGTATGAAAAA